GTAAGGCCCACCAGTGTTTAAGTCAGGCCGTGGCGTTCGCTGTGCAGATTTTCAGCATCGTTCCTAGGTGCACTCAATGTGCACGTTCACCTTTGTTGTTTTGAACTTGCCTGTGCAATGCGCCTGATCGAGTACGGCCGCACTGGATTGACCTCAGCGTTCTATCCAGCGCTGCTGTGGATGAGGCTTAGCGTACTCTGCAGAAAGTGGTCGCGTTCCAGGTATTCATGGCCTTGACGATTACTACCGGCACATTCAAAGAGTGAAAGCTCGCACAACGTCCAAGGCGTGTTATGTTGCACCATGAATAAAATGACGTACCAAGCTGCCGTTTTATTTACGGGTTCGTTCGCTGACAGGCGTGACAGAAAAAGACGCGTTCCCGCACACAACCTATCGAAGGCGATTCTTGAAGATTTTCGGGAGACGCCAGGCAACCTCTTCTGAAACATCAGGATGCCGGAACGCGCCGCTTGAATTTACCTTGTCTGGCATGAAAACATCGCATTTTATTGTGAAGTACACATGGCTTGCATCAGGTCCGTTGTTGCTGTCTGCGTCGAACGCCACTGCTGTCACCATATGCTCTCGTCCTGGTTTCTTCGAGGTCTTGCGAGAACGTGACGTAGTAAGAGTTGCGTTACGTACGCATCTGGTTTCGGGCGTACGCGCGCATCTCTAAAATCGATACGTTACGTACTGCACATGCGCAGATCTCTCCCGTGGCAGTGCTGCGTATACGTGGGCCCGTTACGTATGCCCAACTAAAAGTGTTTATTAGAGAGTTTTAGTACTGCGGAATGGTGCTACGTACGCATCACGCAAGCGCCTTGCGTTACGTGGCGTCGTTTGCCACAGATCGGCTTTTAGTACGCTGTACTACCCGCGTACGTAACGAGCGTCAAGCGTGTTGTGTCATCTGGTATATCAAAATAGAAGTACGTGCTGTTGACAGCCAATGTGAGCCAATCCAAGTGTCATAGCCAGAATATGGCCATATTTTAAGCCACAGAGCCAGTCGGTGCTTGCCTTCAATGCCGCCATTTTGCAAAACGAAGTCTCGCGCTGTCGCGAACTTGTTCGAGAGCGGCGCGATCAGCTCATACGTACTCACGCACGCATCTCATGCGTGCGTACGTAGCGGCTGCGTACGTAACGCGATACGTGCGCGTGGCGGTCTGCGCATGCGCACTACGCAGAACGTGCCGTCCTTACGTACGCAACGCCGCCGCATACGCAGCGTACGCAGTACTAAAACTCTCTAATATTGAAACCGAGCGTACCGCCACGGCCGCTTTATAAAATATGTGTTGTGTGTGTAGAGATGGGTCGCCATGGCAACGTGCCTTTCCGCGTCCGCCGTTGCGTGCTCTAGCTGAACAGTGATCTCGATTTACTTTCTGTGGAGCCAGGTGACGTAGTATGCGTGACTGTTTGCGAGCGCTCGCCCTTGACGCACGGAGCTGAAAAAAAAACAAACAAAAAAAGCGCGCACCTCATGAATGGAAACACAAGCAAACTTTTTCTTTCTCTTTCGTGAGCGGGGGTGTCTTTTTTTTCAATTTTTTCGGTTGCTCGGCTGGGCCAATTTCGAAGCTTCCTCAATAGTGTGTCTTATAGCAGCTACAGAATGGCAATTATCAACAAAATATTATCCGAGTACGCACTATTCACGCAGTAGTTTTTTTTTTTCAATATTATTATGAAATTGTAGCTGCTGAAGCAACGATATGAATATGACGCGTGCAATCTCATGGGGTGGCTTAAATTTAACTCTGACCACGTAGGGCTGTTTAACATGAACATACGTTTTTGTGCTCGGCTGTTAATTTTTCTGCATTTGATTGATATGTGGGGTTTAATGTCCTATAACCACCATATGAATATGAGAGACACCGTAGTGGAGGCCTCCGGAGATTTCGACCACCTGCAGGGGTTCCTTAACGTGCACCCAAATCTGAGCACACGGGCCTACAACATTCCCGCCTTAATGGGAAATGCAGCCGCCGCAGCCGGGATTCGATCCCGCGACTGCGGGTCAGCAATTGAGCAACTTAGCCACTAGACCACCGTGGCGGGGCAAAATTTTCCGCATTTAATTACTTTATGAGACATTTAGTAAATATGCGTGCGCGAATGTCTGAGATGCTCGCTTGGCACGGAGTGGCAGGTTGTTTTTGAAAATATTTGTTGGAGTTTAACGTCCCGGAACCACGATATGATTGACGCGGTAGTGGAGGGGCTGGGCTTCTTTAACGTGCACCTAAATTGAAGTACACGAGCATTTATTTACACCTTTATCGAAGATGGAGTTGGAAATCTTGCCGCGGCCGGGATGAAACATGCCGGTCTGATTATAACACTCAGTAAGGAACTATTGCGATTACCTATATCTTTGTTTTATTGAACAACGCATTTGTGGAAACGCGTTTCTTCTCTATAGAGTTCTCGCGCTGTGCGCAAAAAAAAAAAATTAACGGACGCATGTGCTGTAAGTATATAGAATGTTCATTTTGTATCGGAACTGCAACATCAGACTAGGGTCAAGGCATGCCATTTGAAGACATTCAACGCAGCTGTGTCAGCATGGACATTTTATCGTGCTAATCTGTTCAATGTTCACGACCCGATCAGCGACCTTGCAAAACGTATGCTTTGGCTGTTCATCCTACGCGTACTGCAGACGAACCCGCGTAATAATGACAGTAAGAGTTACCTCGACAAGTCAATGAAACGCTTCGCCCGTGAGTGTGAAACCGTTTGAACTGAAAAGATGGCAGTCTACTTCCAACTACCTGCAAGGAGCGATTCCCGTTTCCCGTACCGCAAAGCTAATAGTTTTTGTTGACTTGTGAACTGCCTTAAACTTTAGCTATAGTTTACTCTATAGTGTGATCGATATCTAAAGCTAACGTCGTGTCCTTGTCTGCGCCATTTTTCTGAATGTTGTTTTCATGGGCCAATGCCTAATTATTCAGTCAGAACGAAATCAGTGTTAGCGTTTAAGACTAATTGGCCGGCTTTATCGCTTAGTTGTAATTTGATTTCGTTGACTGGATGTCATGCATTGCATTACCTAAAATTATCTCATTACTTCAAGATATTGTTAACATTTTATCTCGTGAAGTTTAAGCACCAGTAAGTAGCATTGCTATGTTTTTTTTTATTTGGCGTTAAGCTTGGTTATTCCTTAAACGAGTCATTTAAGAGAGAAATGGTCTTTCTTGTATCAGTGCATTACAATTTCGCACTACCGAAAACGTTACCATTACAGCAAAAAGAGTATTGTAAGCGTAAAATCACGAAAAGTGGTGCCCAACCAAATGCCGTGACGTCATAGGTTTTGACAGCGTTTACAAGGTTCATACGTACTTCCTTATCGGCAAAAATGAAGCACATTATCCTCTTGTGTGGCCATACAAACTGACACACCAAGGTTCAGGAAACTTCGCTGAGCCAATGTCGCCAAATTACGAAAGATACATATCGAAATCCGTGACATCATGAGTCGGAGTTTTCGGTGAAATATTTGAATTGAATTGCCGTCATCGATTTCTCCTCTCGTCGCATCAGAGTTATCGGAACACAGCGTATCAATTTAAGCCGATTTTATTGTTTTTACTGTTGTAGCGTCTCTTGTTATCATATCGTTGTTCTGGGACCTAAAACCCCAGATACGATGTTTAACTGTATTGTTCCTTAAAGTTTCGGTTGAAGCTTATCTTCATGACCTGTATTTTCGAGGCTGTCTGGTAGGTGTTCTGCGAAATCCTACGGGTCTTCCAGAGATTCCTTCTGTGACAGCCATCATCTGAGTTTCGTCGATTGCATCGCTATTATGACGTTGATAATGGACGCTATCTTTCTGCCATTGTATTCAACTACTTCCGTTTCGTTATCGGCCCTGGCTATCAGCCACTAAGCGCGCGCTTTGTAGATCGCTTGAAGTGTATAGCGATTGCGCGTCGCTTGTACAAAGCCGAAGCTGACGCGGTGACAGGAATATCTGACGGCGGCTAAAATGCGCCCTCGCACGAACTGGGTACAAATGGGGTCGTGTATTATACTACGCGCTACTGAATCAGCGCGCGCCGCCCACGTGAGCAACAGCTGTTCGTATTACGCGCGTAGTTGCGGTATTTTTTATGCACCCCTTGATGCGTGCAGGGCGAACGGGTTTCGAGGATGACACAAATCATTGCGAAAGATTTCCCTTTCTGAAGCACAGGAATGCCGGGAAAGAGTCGAAATCGTCGGCAATTGCACGGACAGTGAAGTGATACGGATGCCCACGATGAAAATGTATGCGGAACGTAGTACGTTCTGCGAAAATAAACATAAAAAAGAATTCCCTGTGTGTCTTGGGATATATCCTTGAAACGGCAAGTGGCGGGACGTATACATTTGGAAAAGCTTTGTGCATGTTCCTGAAGTTATCATCTGAAGAAATATGCAGCTCAAATTACGTAGATTTCTCGGCTTCTATTTGCCACTATAGAAAGGTATCGCTGTTTTTCTTTTTTGTAGACTTAGAGGTTTCATGTTCCAACACCACGATGTATTTGTGAGAAACGCCGTAGTGAAGGCCATCTAGCATTCCGACCTCGTCAAGATGGAGCCACCGCTGCAGGGATTCGAACGCGCTACGTTTGGATTCAGCAGTCGAGCATCATAACCACAAAGCCATCGCAGCCGGTGAAATATTGTTCTGTCCTAAAAACTATCTCAAGGAGTAGAAAGTGAACTTTCGAATGAGAACCTTTTTTATGTATATTGCTGTTTCTCTAAGAGCGAATGAATGAGAAACCTGGGCTCATCGCCGGCACTGGTGTGTCAGAGGGACTCGGGAATAGTCGTTCGCTAGTAGTTGCTCAAATCGAAGCTGCAATGTTCAAGCAAGGTGAGCAGAGTTCATACATTCCCCGCACGCAAGTCTTCATTCTAACAGTGGGCCCTCGTCTGCACCTACAACAAACTAAAGGTTGTAAACGAGAACTTACCTTCAGAGGACCTCGAGTTCGGTTCTTCGAGAAGGCACTGCTGGTCGAGCAAACGTGTGATGCAAATCGCCTCTGGCACACTTCTCTAATTCACGCACTGCTAACGCACCGGCACGGACGTGTAGTCGGTGGCCAACACCGCGCTTCCTTTTGCGTCGTGGCCAAATGGGATAGGCAAACACGTGATCACACACCTTCAACACCAGCTGATTGGCAGCGTAAAAGTAAAATCCGCAGCGCGGCACAGTCTGGAAACGAACGCGTTGCTGGAAACTAGCCACAGCGTCTCGTCCGCGTCTGGGCAAGCTTGTGGCCGGGGAAAAGCGCGAGGAACACACCTGCACGTCCGGCCGTCGCTACGCTGACTGGCTCGCGGCGTGGGTTCGTTCGGCTGCTCGCTTCTTTGCGACGCGGATTATGTGTGGGAGAGAGTGAAAACGGCCTGCGGGCGAAAAGGTACGCGCACAACCGGTGGTGGGACGCGTGGTGTCGTTTGACTGGAACCGCCCTCTCCCCTCCTTTGCATGCCAGTGCTGTCTCTTTTGTGGAGGAAGACACATGTGATGGCTCTCCTGTCGTGGACCGACGATTGTTCTGGCGGCATCTATGTTATCTGCTTGCCTTTAGTAGATGAAATCGAGCCTGCTCTCGGCCGAGCGTTTTCCACCGACCGTGAAAGGGAAGGACGGGCTTGACCTTTTTTTGATGGCTTTTTCGCGCATCGGGGCGGCTTCACCGCAGGGAGTCTGTGACCGAGAACGGCTTTCATTTCGCCTTCACTTCTCACTGATGGAGTGCGTCGCCCGGGCAGGTAGCAAACGCGGGACTGCACACCTTTAACACCAGCTGAAAATAAACAATGAAAAAAATGTGTTGCGTGCGTCATTTTGTTTGTGACATTATATTGAGCACTCATATTTGCACATTGAGGTTCCTTCTGCGACTCGAAATCACCTACTAGGAGCCGCGTACATTATTTTTTATGCGGGTACTTTTCGTAATCGTTCGAGTGTGTTCTGTGGGATACTTTTATTCCTATCTTGTTCATTTGTTATCATCGCTGCCTCTGGGAGCTTTGAACAAAGCACAAAACCGCTGTGATAGTGCTAGAAACAACGCTTGCGAGGGGAACAAGTAAGAATGGTGCTAAATTTTCTACCGTTCGTTGTTGCATCAAACCCTTGTTGCATCGCGGCCGGGGGACAGCGTTGCTTGCATGAGGGGCGGGATTGGAGGGCAAGTGCTGGTGTGCTTGAGAGGGGCGAGTACCCCTTTTTGCACCCCTTGCCGATGTTCGTGAAGCCGAATATCCAAAACTCTTGTCGCGGTGGTTCAGTTGCTAAAGAACCAGTCAACAGGCTCCGACCTGATTTTTTTACACCCCTGAAGGAGGCTCGACAAATCGTTGAGCAGACCGCGGCAATCACGTTTGCCGAATACTGTCTGTCTGTTCGTCCGTCCATCTCTGTCTGTCCGTCCATCCCTCTGTCTGTTTATCTATCCGTCCGTATGTATGTCTGTCTGATACTGCTGGTTACGCCTGACGGAGTTCAAGGTCACACTCTAAGAGAAGCTTCGCCCTTAAACCAATTCCATGCAGTGCTCCTTTCATACACCTAACCAATCCTCCTTTCAGTGACGCAAAGCCGCCGATCGGTGGCTTGACGTAGCACGCAGCACGTCCATTGGTCTAAACCATTTACGACGATGGACTACGCCTTCTCTCCGGGATCGAGAAAGGGGTGGTGATGACGCGCGAAAATTAGAAATTTGCTGAAACACCGATGTTCTCACTCCAGTAACTTTCTTAATATAGTGCGTATTGGCAAAAATTTTGTGGAAGCGTGTCCACCAAAGTTAAAGTGTCCATATGTATAACAATGTTTCGACCTCGAAGTTGACGGGAAGGTCGCGGGTTCGATTTGGCTGCGGCTACCGCATTCAGATGGAGCCGAGACGCTGGAAGTCGGCGCACCGACTGCACGTTGTCGTTGCGCGTTAAAAAAAAGAAAAAAGAACAGGTGATCGGAATTAATCGGCTCTTACCACTACGTCAATTCCAACCTATAGTCGCGGCATGGGGGATTGGTGTCGCGCGCTAAGCACCTTTGGTGGCCAGCTAGTGGAGTTCACGATAGATTTAATGAGACCCTGATCGGCACACGATCAGGGTCTCATTAAAAGTTTCATGCATTATTCAACAGGCAATGGCATGTAGTGATACACACCCGGGAAATTTCAATTTTAGAGCAGTGCTAATCCAAATAAGTCTCTATGTCTTTCCTGCGACACGCTGCGCAATCAATGCACGTTGCGGGCAACGACACCGGAAATTGGCGCGCGCTGATTTTTCTGGGAAAAACCGGTTTGCTGTTAACTGAACTTCACTTTTCTAACGTTTTTACGTCCTGTGTGGGAAAAGGTTCGTTGCACTTTAAATCATTGTAATTTTGGGGCTTACTGTTTCTAAGCCAACAATCGATTATGAGGCACGCATTCAGTAGATGGCTCCGGGGAAATTTCGACCGTCTGGTATTCTTCAAAGAGACACCATAGAGCAGAGCGGTTTTTCGCTTATTAGTAAAGTAGAACTTCACATTCCAGTGAACACCACTCTTGCCACGACACGACACCTGAAAAGCGAGAAAATCGCGAAAAGAAAATGCGGGGGGGAGACGTCTCCGCGAGATTCCCGCGTAAAACACCGTGACGTCATAAATTTTGAAGGGGTCTACTGTGCACTACTTAGCTGCTGGTCGATAAAAAGGAAGCGCATCGCCTTATGTCGGTGTCCTAGACCTAGCATACGAAGTTTATGAAAATTTTATCCAGCGAATGTCGCGAAAACACTATATTTTGAATGTGTTTTACGTCACGCGTAGACATTCTGGCGCGATATGTAAAGGAAACTGAATCCTCAACCTTTATTTTCCCTGCTGATCATCAACTTATGATAGTGAAGCATATCGCATTAGAGTTTTCAGAGTGCAGTTTGTCAATCTACACCAAGTCATTGTTGCTCCTTAAATAATGTCCCTTTAACGTCCACTGCCATTGCACAGTACATGAGTCTCTTGCCATTTTGCCTCCAGTTGCCTTGCATTTTAGGCGGCGCAACTCGAGTGCAGCAGAGTTCCGCAGTGATGACTCACCGTCGTCGGTGAAGAGGGGAGTTTCCCGCCGTAAATTCCTGACCTCTCTCTCTTTACGTGACCTCTCGCACAAATTGTGGGCGTATTGCCGAGATAGCGGCGCGATAGCATTGCCTTCACGCTCGGTCGAGACTGATTCCATCTCTGCGCCCCACACGATAAACGCTTTACTGCTTACGGGTATGAATCGAAGTAACGTGCGTGTTTGGTTTCCTTCAAATAATTGCAGCGATAAATGTGCTTTTTATATATATACTCTGGCGATGTTAATGACATCTAGAGTTTTACCTCCCTAAACCAGGTCATAAGAGATGCGGTATGGGGGGGGGGGGGGGCTCCATAAATTTGGACCGCCTGGTGTTTTTCAACGTTCGCACAGTACACGGACTTATAGCAGCATCACGCCTCCGTTGAAATGCGGCCGGCGTGGACCCCGTGACCTTTGCGTCAGCAGCCGAGGACAATAGCCACTGGCTCCACCTATAGACGGACGGCCGGTTACGTTGACGGAGCGTGGGGTCATTGCGGAAAGCCAACGAAGCCTTGGCCGATGTTTCAGTGTGAGCAGTTAATGAGCTGTCCCGTTTTTATTCGATTTATTTTTGCCGAACATTCAAGTCACTGATGCACCAAAACGACGTTGGTGCACCAGCCGGACAAATGAGCGAACGCCGCCCGTGTTGAAGAACATGTTTTACACGAAAAATGAAAGGAGAGGGAATATGGAAGTTAGCGCGATGAAAAAAAAAAAAAAAATACGCGAACAGTGGTTGTGTGCTCGAGATGACGTTTCGACAAAGGGGACTTGGTCTTCCTGAAGGCCAGTTCTAGCTTTCAGGAAGACAAGCTCATTTGTCAAAACGGCGGCTGGAGAACACAACCCCGGTTTCGATAGATTACAGACGTTTGAATTCTGGATTTGTTTTATTTACTTCGTTTTTTTTCTTCATATTCATTCATCAAGATGGGCTCAGGTGAACGGGACACCTTGTGTAAGAAGTGTGTTTTCCCGCCAATGTAGAAGATCTGAGATATATGAATACAGCCAAGAAGTGTGAGAAGGCATGTAATTATGGATTTCGCGACAAGCTAGAATGTGTTTTTTTTTCTTCAATGAGAGGGGGTTCAACTATACTTTAGTATGTTCGTCCGTGCGTTTTTATGTGTGCAAGTATATGTACAGTCAACCACAAAAGTTTGCGGACCACGCGAGCGCGTCAAAAATTGCCTGTCCGCGCCGCGCAGCGCCATGTACCGTCGACTGCCGAGCTAGCCCGGAAACAGCTCTCCACGTTACTCACTCGCCTTTAAGATAACTGCCGCGTAGCGCTTATCCGCAGTATGACCGTCACATTTCTGTTAACATGACAGGATCGCAGCTATCACGGCGTGCCTCAAATGGCGTTCCGTTGGGTTGGTAACACGTTGTGATGAAGATATCCGACTAATAATAGTTAAGCTCATATAGACTGTTCTCGAAGCAGAAGCACGTTGACGCAGATGTCGAAAAAGCGCATCACGTTAAAAGGTGAAAAATTATTTGTACACAATCAGAAAAGACACAGGCCATATATTAAGGGAGGGATGCTGCTCGGGCGCTGCGGTGCTGCCGACCGCCGCTGACCCGAAACCCTTGCCCCTCCTCCGCGTAGCCTTCGCAAGCCAAATCTCTTCCCCACCCTCTCCAGCGTCCGACCATGAGGTGACGTGCGCATGACGTGCTCAAGCAACTCCGACCCCCGAGCATGCCAGCAGCGTTGCTTTGTTGACCAGCGTTATTTTGTGGTCTTCTGTCTGTTTCTGCGGGATGGCTTGGAAACGCTGACTTAGACGCTGTAGAGTAGATGAGCACAATGAGTGCGCGAACGCGTAGGTGCGCTCCACTGTGGTCGTCTGCTCCATGCGCTGACCGCGGGGACACGAACGCATGCGAACCGCTGGCACATTAGCCCCGAATCTCGTAGCATTTCACGGGAAAAAATGAAAGAAAAACGCGCACAATTTTTTATTGCGTCTCATTATTTATTTCAAGTTTTATTAATCTCTTAAAGCAACAAATACATAAACTACGCATGTTGTGTTAAATAATTTTTGCTCTGTCACGTCGTATACTGTTGACAACGTCAGAGCAGACTCGTCTATGTAGAGGACCAACGTCACTGCATTGCCGTGTACGTAGGTCCATTCCTACGCCCACGTCATGCTTTCATTCTCTACGCGTGCGCCGGCAGAGGGGAGGGGAGCAGT